ATGAGACACTTACTGAGTATCTGCTGCGGGGTCAGACACTGTTGTAAGTCCCCGGGAACAGAAAGATCCATAGCACCAAGCATCTGGCATGGAAGAGAAGACTGACTACGTACAGGTAAGTGACATTCTCATCTAAGTGGAAGGTTAAATTCCAAATGCCTGACACAGCTCTTCAAACAGCTGTGTTTGAGGAGATATTTTCCCTGCAAACATTTGTTAAAGATAACAGGAAACCCACTTCTAGGAAGAACGGCAGATTTGATCCTGTGAACAGGGAAAACAAAACAAAACAACAACAACAAAAACCCAGGATATTATAAGAGAGCAAGGAGTAAAGCTGATGAAATGTCCAGTGAAGGAAGGTGCCTTCTGAGGCGGGCAGGTCTGTGTGTCTGTGTGTAGGACAGATGGTGCCTCTGAGCAAAGGCACTGGGATGGAAGGATAGGAGGCAAAGTGTTCACCATAGACTTGGGCGGTGTCCAGGGTCCTTGAGAGCACATCTGCGGGGAGATTCCATGCAATCCGGAGACCAGAGAGACCTTCCTTGGTCCTGTTTGTAACACCTCACTTTACATTTCCCTATGCCAACCTGTCCCTGGAACCCAACCCGTTACCAGTCTCTTTCTTAAGCAATTAATTAGTCTGTCAATTTGTGTATGTGTGGTATAAAAGCAGAAAATGCCTAGGAAGTGGGGCTGTTTATGGGTGCACTCCTCCACGTGTGGGGGTCAGGGGTGGCCATTGGATGCCTCCATTCATTGCCCCTCTATTGCTCTTCATTTTTTTTTTTTGAGATAGGGCCTCTCACTGAACCCAGAGCTCATCACTTTGTCCATATTGGCCCGCTAGTGAGCCCATGGGATGTGCCTATCTCATGCTCACCGCGTTGTGTTTACAAACACCTGCTACAATGCCTGGTTCTCACCTGGATGCTGGGGGTTCATATTCAGGTCTTTGTGCAAACACTTGAACCATCTGAACCCACTGAACCATCTCTTTATCCCCCTTTATGAGCTTCTATACATTAAAAAGTCCAATTACGTAATTTGTTTTGTTTTTTGAGATGGGGTTTCTCTGTATAGCCTGGAACTGACTCTGTAGATCAGGCTAGCCCCAAACTCAGACCTCCACCTGCCTCTGCCACCCAAGTGCTGGGACTAAGGGCGTGTGCCATCACGACCCAGCCAATTACACAAACTCTTAGAGCCATTCCTAATAAAATTTTGACAAATTTCATGGAAAGTTTTGTTAAAGTAAGTGGAGGAGATTAATCCTGAAAATCATGCATTTTCTTTCTTCTCCCTTCTTTCTTCTTCTTTTTTTAAATTTATTTAAAAAAAATTTCATTTTACATACCAACCACAGTTCCCCCTCCCATCCCTATTCCTGTTCCCCCCTGCCTCCCACCCCCATCCACTCTTCCAAAAGGGTAAGGCCTTCCATGGGGAGTCCAAAAACCTGGTACATTCAGTTGAGGCAGGACCAAGCCCCTCCCCCCTGCATCAAGGCTGAGCAAGGCATCCCACCATAGGGAATGGGCTCCAAAAAGCCAGCTCATGCACCAGGGATAGATCCTGATCCCACTGCCAAGGGCCCCTCAAACAGACCAAGCTACACAACTATCTCCCACATGCAGAGGGCCTACTTCAGTCCCATGTAGGCTCCACAGCTTTTGGTCTAGAGTTCCTGAGTTCCCACAAGCTTGATTCAGTTGTCTCCATAGATTTTCCCATCATGACCTTGACTCCCCTTGCTCATATAATCCCTCCTCCCTCTTTTCTAAACCCATTTATTTTCCTTTTCTCTTCCAGTTTTCCCCATAAGCTTTCAAGTATTTCATTCCATCATTGTTAATTAATCTAGTACAAAGTACCTTAGGAAGCAATTGTACTGCACCTTAACATGCTTAGTCTTCCAGGAGGGCATGTTAACATACAGCCCTGTGGGGCCTGAGAAATGTCATCAGTAACACATTTCCACCCACTTCTGAGGACCATGGTTTAAGAAGCCCACCTTTAGGCTGTAATCCAACATGTCACACATGAATGACATCATATATTTCCAGCCCATTCAGTTTCAGTCTATATGTCACAAGGACTGAAGCAGACAGATCTCTCAGAAGAACTACTCCAGTAACTGTGGTGGGGATGATTCTCCCTCTAGACTGAATGCAGTCCTCCTCCCTGATTAGAATTTACAGTACCTTGAAATTGTACTGTGTTCCATGAGTTAATTAGGAACACAAGAATCAAGGGAAGAGAGTGATCAACTGGGGGTCATTATGGGATTTTTTTCTTATTAATACACAGACTAAGCCCAATACAAAGTGACCTCAGTACTCTAATCTCACCAAAAGATAGAGCACAACTACTCAAAAAAAAAAAAAAAAAAAAAAAAAAAAAAGCAGAGATCCAGCCCATCCACCCTCCACCCAGCCAGATCTCCCACATCTGGCTTTTCTAGGCTTCTCTAGTCTGGGGAATCTGCCAGATTCTCCTGTACACATCCTCCCTGGCCCACCAGATGTAGCCTGGGTCCCACATCCAGCATCCTGGTCTAGTCCGGCAATCCCTGCCTGCACCACATCCTATCTCTAGAATTCCCCCCAGGACCCACCCTACCTGTCACTGACCCAAAGGTTCCTATGTGATTTTTTTTTTTTTTTTTTCGAGACAGGGTTTCTCTGTGTAGCTTTGCGCCTTTCCTGGAACTCACTTGGTAGTCCAGGCTGGCCTCGAACTCACAGAGATCCGCCTGGCTCTGCCTCCCGAGTGCTGGGATTAAAGGCGTGCACCACCACCACCCGGCCCTATGTGATTTTTAAAAAAGATTTATTTTATTTGTATGCATATTTCATGTCTGTATGTGTATGTGTGCGCCTGGTGTCTGAAGAAGTCACTAGACGGCACCCCAGCCCCTGGAACTGATGTTAAGGATGGTTGTGAACCACCATGTGGATGCTGGGACTGGAACCCAGGACCCATGAAAGAGCAACAGTGCTCTTAACCAGTGAACCATCTTTCTAGCCCCGTCATGACACTGTTTTTAATATTAGTCTGCCACTTGATAGCACTGAATAATATCATTATATTATAACTTTTATTCTATGGAAAACAGACTCTCAGTTTTAAAGAAAGTTTTTACATTTTAATAAATTGTAAAAATATCTCTCAGTGTTCAAGTTGATTTTGTTGGTTTTCTGTCACTGTTACAAAATACCAGAGACAGTTAGCGTACAAAGAACAAAAGTTTATTTTAACTAACAGCTTTGGAGGTATCAATCATTGGTGGGATGGCCACATAGTTTACTGATTTTTATCCTGTGACAAGTCAGTTCATCATGGTGGGGAGTGGTGTGTGGTGCTGCCTCATGGCAGCTGGGAAATGAAAAAGGGAGGTGGGAAAGGAGGGAAAAACCATAATGTTTTGTGGTTGATATATTGTGCACCCCAATAAACTTATCTGGGCATCAGAGAACAGAACAGCCATTATATTAAACATAGAAGTCAGGCAATGGTAACACATGCCTTTACTCCTAGCATTCAGGAGGCAGAGATCCATCTGGATCTCTGTGAGTTCAAGGCTACACTGGAAACTGCCAGGCATGGTGACACACACCTTTAATCCCAGGAAGTGGTAGCGGAAAGGTATATAAGGTGTGAGGACCAGGAACTAGAGCCTTTTTAAGCTTTTAGGCTTTTAGCAGCAGTTCAGCTGAGATCCATTCGGATGAGGACTCAGAGGCTTCCAGTTTGAGGAAACAACATTAGCTGAGAAGTTGGCAAGGTAAGGTTAGCTGTGGCTTGTTCTGTTTCTCTGATCTTTCACCCCAATACCTGGCTCCAGGTTTGTTTTATTAATAAAACCTTTTAAGATTCGTGCTGCAATGTTTCCTTGACAAGCACCCTCCAAAGAAGGCCCTAACTTCATTCCAACAGGCCCCACCTCCTGGAGGTTCCAGTGCCTTCCAGTAGTGACCCAGGGCAATACTTTCAGCAGAGGGGCCTTTAGGGACATTATGGTGATATTTTATTTGTATTAAAATGTTATTTGTAGGTTAATAAATAAAGTTGCCTGGGGGTCAGAGCTATTAGCAAGCCATAGGAAAACAGGGCAGTGGTGGTGTACTCTTGTAATCTCAGCACTTGGTAGGCAGAGCTGGGTAAGTCTCTGTGTGTTCAGGGATACAGCCATTATTGGATACACATGCCTTTAATCAATACCAATCATGGAAAACCTGGAGGCCTATACAGACAGGCCATGAGGAGGCAGTCATGTGGTTGGGTTTACAACCAATGAGAAGGCAGAACAGGAACTCTATATAAAGACTTTAACACAGGGGTAGCTCTGGTTCGGAGAGGTAGGACCACCGCAGGAGGAAGGGTAAGGTTTTAGCTCTTAGCTCTGACCTCTTGGCTTTCTTCTTTGAAAAAAAAAAAAAAAAAGAAGTGCTGTGGGATGTTCTGTATGGCAAATGTGTTGCTGATTAGTCAATAAATAAAACACTGATTGGCCATTGGCTAGGCAGGAAGTGTAGGCGGGACAAGGAGGAGAATAAAGCTGGGAAGTGGACGGCTGAGTCAGAGAGACACTGCCAGCCACCATGATGAGAAACAGCATGTGAAGATGCCGGTAAGCCACGAGCCATGTGGCAAGGTATAGATTTATAGAAATGGATTAATTTAAGCTGTAAGAACAGTTAGCAAGAAGCCTGCCACGGCCATACAGTTTGTAACCAATATAAGTCTCTGTGTTTACTTGGTCGGGTCTGAGTGGCTGTGGGACTGGCAGGTGAGAGAGATTTGTCCTGACTGTGGGCCAGGCAGGAAAACTCTAGCTACAGGACATCTAAAGTCTAAACATTATTTGATTAGGAAAGCAACTAACGCCCTGGGCTTGGTCACTGAGCTCTGTCCAGTGAAGAAAAAGGACAAGTGTCTTCCAAAGGGCTTCAGGAGCAGCCCATGAAGAGATGCAATTAGGATGATAAAGCAGCCCAGCTCCTCACTCCAGAAGACAATTAGACTTGTATACTCTAACAAATTCTTTCCAGTCCACTTTTAGCCTGGCGCTGCTCACACCACTAACTTTCAGCCTTGAGAATGGACATGAGCCAATGAAAACGAACCATAATTCATGGATGCAGGGATAAGAGCTCTCTGTGGATGTACTGCTGTGATGCACACAGGGTAAATGCCTGGGATTTTCTCTCAAGTGCATTCTGCCCACATGAAATACAGAAGGTGAGTTTTTAAATAGATATACACAGCTTTCTTCACCTCTTGGTTCAATTCACTGAATGGTTGATACAATCAGTTTATGACTTTTGCTTTGTATGTTGAAAAAATATCCTAGGGGAAACCTAGTTATCACTAAATTTCTTAATTTAGCAGAATATTTGTAAATTTGAGCTCAGGGTAGGCTTCTAAACTCAAAGCTGGTGACTGACCATGCAGTTTGTATGTTTTCATAATTATTGAACTATTTTGTAACTGTGGATTGTATGGAATATCTATTTTAAAGCCGTAATCTCACTCACTCTAGATCTGTGTCTTTCTTTTCTTTTCCTGCTATTCTTGCATCCCTGACAGTGATTCCCAAATACTCAAACAGTAAACAAATCAAGTTTACTTTGTTGGACTCAAATAAAATCTAGTGTTAATTTTTCATACTTCTGCATGTGTACTTTCTAGATCACTGTACTTTACCCTTGAAAACTGGGCCCTAGCACTCATTTACATGAAATCTGTCTAGGAAAGGAAAGGGATCTTTTGGACGATACCTGCTGTGATGTTAGAATCAGTGTTTTTCACTGGAATTATCTCCTGGCGAAACTGCACACACTTAGTTTGGAAGTACAACCCAGTGTGTATATGTGTGTGCATGGGGGAGGGATATGGTTTTTGTATTCCCTCAGTTATTTGGCCCTGGAAACCAATTCTTTTACTCATTTTCTAAATTTATCTTCCTACTTTAACAAGAGACACTGGATTTGAACACCAAAAGACAGCAAAAAATGATGATCATCCAAGTCATGCTGAGTAAGGACAGTAAACTTGGCTGATTACAGTGTCCTCTGGGAGTCTGATCAATATTTATAGGTAAAAGTACCTTTATTAGGTCAGTGAAAGTATTACAGGATGCTTTCAAGTTTTCTGCATTCCTTAGATCCTAAATTATAAACTTTCTAATAGTTATCTAATAGTGGCTTTTGAAAATCAGATTTAAAAAAAAACATGCTTTGGACTAAGTCATAGTTCTGGAACTTTCATGATGTTTATCTTTACATGCATACAAATGTATAATGCTGGGGCTGGAAAGATGGCTTAGTGGTTAACAATACTGGCTGCCCTTCCAGAGGAACTAGCCTGGGTTCAGTTCCCAGCACCCACATGGCAGTTGACAGTTCTAGAGGATGGATGATGCCCTCTTTTGGCCTCCTTGGGTCACTGCACAGATGAAATACACAGACATACATGCAGACAAAACACTCATACATAGAAACAGATAGATAGTGGTCCCATGCAACAATCGTTAGGGGTTGTTGGATTTTAGTCATGATTTGACTTGCTGATTTTCTTTCACATTTCTTCTCTGTTGCCTAAATAAGCAGTCTACTTGGCTCCAGTAATTCCAAATTATTCCAGTGACTTCTCAAGAGTGATGAATTTTATATTCAAAGACTATCAAGGCTAAGAGGGAGAACGCTAAATAATAACTCATATGGTGAGTATTTATTCTGGGTGTTAGTCAATTAATTGTATGTTTTAACCTAATAATTTCTATATTGTTATATAGAGACCTTTAGAGAATGTTTAGTTTTTAATAAACAAGGAGATTTAGAATTATGATTAAAACACTTTCCTATTGTCTCAGTTCCAAATGGGATGTTTTCACTGGTGCTGATCTCTTAACAGTCACAGATGCCTCTCCAGATCCTGGATGATCAGCACATTCAGCTTCTTAGCTCAAATATCACACAAATAGCCCCTATCCCTGCTCCTGGTAATCGTTATTCCTCTCTGTGAGCTAGGCTTCCACTGTCTATGTATCTCTCTGCATTTCTATTTTTTAAACTTCTTCTAGAATGACCCATTAATCTCTACCCCTAAGTTCCAAGTTCTTCCACAATAGTCCAAAGGCATGAAATCCACATGGCTGGATTTATTACCACATTAACTCCACTTCCTCAATACCAGTTTCTACTCTAGCTACTTTTCTGTTACTGTGACAAAACACCCAGACAAAAAGCAACTTAGAGGAGAAAGGGTATATCTAAACTGAAAATTTGGTTATAGTCTATGACAAAAAAGAAATCAAGATGGCAGGGACTTAAAACAATGCATCACACAACATCCACAGTCAAGCCCAGAGGGCAATGGATGTGTACATGTATCACTTGCTTGTTTGCTTATGCTCAGTTTGATTTTTTTTTCCACTCTTATATGGTCAAGAGTCTCTTGGTAGAGAATGGTGCCACCCACAGTGTCCTGGATCTTCCTGTATCAATTCACTTAAAACACCTCCCCCAACAGGCATACCCACTGGCCAGCCCAGTGGAGACAATCTTTCATTGAGACTCTATTCCCAGGTGATTCTAGGTCATGTCATTGACATTTAAGCTAACTGTTATACGATATAAATGAAATTATTTATTCAAGGTCCAAGGAATTACACAAGCTTCCATTCAGGGTAAGAGCAATCCCCGAGCTTCTTTACACTATGGGACTTACTATCTCTGTCACCTTATGCAAACTGTATATGTTATTTCTCATGGATGTGAAATGCCTCACAGAAACAAACTATGGAAAGGATGGTTTGTGTTGGTTTATAATGCCAGAGGTATCACTCTGTAGTCCTGGCTCCAATGCTCCTGGGTCCATTATGAGACAATGGCAGTGAAGCTTGACATCAAAGAAACAGAAACTAAGCAAGTCTGGGGACTGGGTATAACTTCAAAGGCATGCCTGTAGTGACCTATTCTTCAGAGTAATCTCAACCTCCTAAAGCTTCCAGAACCTTCTAATTGGCCCTACTAGCTGGGGACTAAGCCAAGGGAAATTTTATACCAATGCATAACATTCTACATCTGGACCCCAAAGGCCATCTCATAATTTAAAAATGCATTTAATCAATTTCTAAGAGTCTTAAAGTCTACCTGCCACATAAAACTTGTGGCTTGCAAGTTACATTCATTTTAGAATATCTGTGAATGAAGTTAACACATTTGTAGAAGACAACAGCATGTCACAGTGTCAAAAGGTTGGACACCCCTACATAGTTCTAATATTGTAAACAAACAAACAAAAAAAGTCCAAGGTCTCCTCTAAGAATCAAAGCAAACTCTTCATAAAATGCTACTGGAAAATTAAAAGCTCAGATTTCCACTATATCAGTGGTATAGAGCCTGATCAAAATCTATCGGGGTAATCATTAAATCCTGCAGGTTCATGCTCAGCATGTGGACAAATGGTGTTATGATATAAGATACAAAGGGCTTAGGCAGTCCCATCCTGGTGACTTGCTGGTTGCAGGCACAGGTCCTGTCTCTTGGGCTAGCTTGGCTTTCCTCCTGTTGGTTTCTTTAGCAAACATTCTATTTTTAATCCTCATGGCTTTACATAGCACTCACTCAGGGGCTCCCTACAGGGAATCATACTCTGCCGTACATCGTCTACCTTCCTTGTCTTTCTTTTGAGAGCTAGATAGAACCTTCCATCACCATATAACTCTTCTATTTTATTTCATTCCTCCAATACCAATGTGACACAGATGGTATCAACTGCTGCTAACACAGGTTGTCACTCCACTTACTTGGCCCACAGTGGCCCCACATACCTCAGTGGTTGAGCAGTGTGAAACAAATCTCAAGAAAATAATTGCTTGGGATACCCTTTGCAAATAGGTGGTAGTGTATTCCCGAGAGAAAGCCTTTAAGTCTTTACTCTTTCATACCCTTAAGCCTGTGATGACTAGGTTCTGGCCAGTTTCTGTGATGCTCTGGAATCATCTTCCCTGCTATCCAGACAAAAAATATGAGCCATATCCTCAGTCCTTGGCACTTTAGATTTCTCCCCTCTTTCTAGGCACAACCTCATCATATAGCTCAGGTTAGCCTGAAACTCACTATGTACTGGAGCTAGACTCGAACTCCTGAGCCTCCTGCTTCAGCCTGCCAAGTACTTGGGTTATAGACATACCATGCTATACTATCTGGATCCTTGGCTTCTTCTATGTCACCAGTTCTCTAGAAATCAAAGTTTGACTTTAGCTTCAAGTTTACATGGGTCTGTTGGAACAACCTGACACCATTTCATGTCTTTCTTTTGTTTGCTCCTGATTCTCATGCTGCACCAATAAAACCAGCAATAACCGTGCCACTGCTTGAACGTGTACAGTCTCAAAGTTTCCTGTTCACTGTCAATTAGTCAAACTTCAAGCTACATTTCCTCAAAGTCTTAGGGCCAAATGTAGAAAAGTTACTTCCCAGCACGTTCATGTGTATTTTTGTTGAATTTAACAACAGACTCCCTGTTCTAACTGAAACTTCATGAGTGGTCACTGTTATCTACATTTTGATTGGCATTCTGGCCTCATGCCGTTTTGAATTCCTAGCGGAATTGCCTACTAAGCTCTGTTCATAGCATTGAAGGCTTTCTCTAACCTTCATCTTCAACTTTCTGCGTTACTCGTGCAAACCAGTTCTCAGGTCACCTGTCAGGCCCAGTCACAGCAACAACCCCACTCCTGGTACCAATTTTCTACATTACTTTTCTCACTGCTGTGACAAATACCAGACAGAAACAACCTGTGTGGGGAGGACTTCTTTTGTCTCATGGTTTCAGACATTTCTGTTTGTCATCTTGGACTCTTGATTGGGGCCCCTGGTGAGGCAGTCAAGACAGCAGGCACGTGAGGAGGTAAGGTTTTTGTCCATCAAAGCAGATTGGAAATGTAGAGTGAAACGTCAACCTGGACCGGGCACAGCCTTACAGCCGTACTTCTGATGGTCTACTTCTAACCAGGTCCCACTTGTTAAGTGTTCTAGACCTCCTAAACCAAACATTCAACACATGATCCTGTTGGGGTGTATTTCATATTCATACTTCAATAGGAACTGAAAGTAGAATGGAATGAAGTAAGTTGACAGTTTTGAACTGTTCTGTGTTTTTGGATTAATGGAGATGGGAAAGATCAAGGAGGAGAGGTAAGAATTTTACCTCCTTTGCCAAGGAAGCAAGTGAGATTATGCTAGCTGAGTCTGAACTGTAAATTTTGACTTTTCATACACATACTAGAATAAGATTCCACAGTAGAAGAAGCTTCTCTGGAGCTTGAGATGAAAACAAGGTCATTTTCCCAGGGGAGTAACCCATCGAGCAAGCGTCTAAGATAAACAAACTGCCTGGCTCTTACTTGAAACAAACGGCAGTTAACCAAGACTTACTGCAACTGACTCTGGCCCCCATCCAAATGTTGAATTAATGCAAAGTTCTTATTGACTAAAATGGAACCTCACTTTTGGCAGATGCAGTAGAAAAGCTCCTTTGCTAATTCTGGAAGTCGATTAATTGCCCTCTCACCCCCCAGCCTGGGTCACTGAGCGTTATTGCAAGAGAAGCAGAGGTTTTCTGTAAGTATCATTTCAGAGATCTGATCTCAAAGCTCATAAAGCTCAGAAGCACAATTCATTTATAACATGTAAAATTAGAACAGATTTCAGATAAGTCTTTAAAAATATAGTAGCTCACATATATATATATATATATATATATATATATATATATATATATATATATATATATATATGTGATCACAATATATATATATTGTGGCTTTAATTGTATAATCTCTGTGATATATGTAATTGAAATAAATATGATATGATTTTAGTATTTTTATCTTTTTCCCCATGTAACTATATTCTACAGTAGACAATGTGTCTCTTTGTGAGCAAGGAGAAAGTGTCTGATCTTCTCGTATCCACTTCCTTTTAGGATCCTCACTTGGAAAGCAAAGAGGTTTGACTTCTGTAACCTCAGTTTTGAGGGTCCAATCAAAGAAACAGAGGTGATGGCAGAGGATGGCTTGGGGTGGAAGGAGGGTTGGTCAGGTTACCAAAGAAGACAAGACAAGCCCCACAGGTCTCAGCTCTAGCAATCACACTCTGAAGTCCTTGTTGTGGCAAAGGGGTCTCTTCCCTGGTGACATTAATAAAACAGAGTTCCTATCTTAGCAGCTGGTTCTCCATGGCTCAAGCAGCCTTATAGGAAGGCTCATGTTGCAACAAACTCAAGTTACTATCACTCAGTGACAGTCAGTCCAATGGCTCTCAAGGAGCTGCACCTGCCCCTCAATACAGACCTCAGAACAGTCTTTCCCAGTCAGGTGCTCACAGGAGAGTCTCTCGAGCTTTGTGGGAGACCCCAGCTGGTAGCCTAGTTTGCTGAGAGAATCTCAAGTACAAGACTGTATTTTTCACATTTCTCATGCTGTGACAGAGTGTGTGACAAAGGCAATGTACGGAAAGAAGCATTTCTTTTGGCTCATTGGTTTGAGGGGACAGTCCCATCATGGTGGGGAGGTCATGGCATCAGGAGCTTGAGGTAGCTGGTCACTTTGGATCCATAGTCAGAAAGCAGAGAAAGATGAATGCTGATACTCAGTTCTCTTTCTCATTTTATTTTTCTGGGACCCCAACACATGGCATGATGTCATCCACTTTAGAGTGGATCTTCCTTCTTCAGTTAACTCTTCTGGAAATGCCCTCACAGACACATATAGAGCTGTGTTTCCGTAGTGATTCTGATCAGATCAAATTGACAATGAAGACTAACTATTAAAAAGGCCCACTCAAATCATATTTGGATTTCTGAACCCACGAAACTGTAGGGTAAGGAATAGTGTTCATAAGTCAGTGCCTTGTGAAGATTTGCTACACTGCAACAGATAACTAGTACAGAGATAGTAAGGACATGGCCCCTGGTAAAGGATGAGCAGAGATGTGGAAGCTCTCACTGGCCAGGATGTACAGCTATATATCAGGCCCATCTACCTAGGGATGACACCACCCACAGTGGGCTGGGCTCTTCCCCATCAATCAAGAAAATGTCCCACATACATGTTCACTGGCCAATCTGCTGAAGACAGTTTCTCAGTTGAGTCTCAGATATGTCTAGGTTTGTGTCAGGTTGACAAAAATTATGACATCTGAACAAATGATTTGTTTTTTAACATCTCTTATTCTCTTATCTTCCCAACATGTGGGCTTGCAGAATGGAAGGACAAGAAAGTATTTTAGGAATAAATAATTCCTCCAGGTGAGGGAGAAGGATGAAGATGCTAAACCAGGTGCCCCCACTACACACTCAGTTCACACCTGACCACATTTCCAGTGATAGAGGAATAGAGGTTTCCTGTCTGATACAAAGTTGATGGATTCGAGTGGACAAAGTTTTTGCAAGTTTGGGAGGAAGAGCTTTCTGCTCAGTCAGGAAGGGAAATTTGACACAGTATTTGACAATGCGATTAGCATAGTGTTGTAGGAATAGTCGGCTTCATGTATATATGCCACCAAACTTGAGTATTCACTAAATGAGTTAGCTGTGGGTACAGATAAAAAGGAGGTGGAGGCTCTGAGAACTAGAGGACTCCTTGGGGGCAAGACTTTAGGTTATTAATGGTGAGAAATCACTCCAGGACCAAAACTCCTTTGTCCACAAATGCCCATCAACTAACTGACTGAACATGGGAGTTCTCTAGTATTTGACAACAGATTCTTCATGCCTCTGAGTGTATATTCGTGGAGCCATCCTAGAACGGTGCTGTGGATTATGCTCATTGTTAATAAAAATGTGATTGGCCGAAAGTAGGGCAAGAAGAGATTGGGCAAGACAGCTTGACACAGAGAGAATGATGGGGGGAGAAAGGGCGGAGTCAGGGGAGTCATGAGGGATGCCAGCCAGTCACCCAGAAGGCAAGCCATGCTAGAGGACAGGTAAAGCCACGAGCTATGTGGCAATACATGGATTAATAGAAATGGTTTAATTTAAATGTAAGAGCTAGTAACAAGCCTGAGCTATCAGCCAAGTATTTGTAATTAATATAAGCCTCTGAGTGAGTATTTGGGACCAGGTGATCAGAACAGGAAAGCTCTGCTCAATGAATGGCTATTCTAAAAATATTTCCTTCCTTTCTTCCTTCCTTCCTTCCTTCCTTCCTTCCTTCCTTCCTTCCTCCCTCCCTCCCTCCCTCCCTCCCTCCCTCCCTCCCTCCCTCTTTCTTTCTTTCTTTCTTTCTTTCTTTCTTTCTTTCTTTCTTTCTTTCTTTCTTTCTTTCTTTCTTTCTTTCTTTCTTTGTGTGTGTGTAAGTACACATTCCACAGTGAATCTATGGAGGTCAGAGGACAGTTTTTCTGGAGTTGGTTCTCTCCTTCCAGTGTGTGGGTTCTAGGGATCAAACTTGGGTTGTAGAGCTTGGTGTCAAGTATCTTTACCCAATGAGCCATCTCGCTGACCCCTAGAATAGATCTTGAGTTCTACATCTGCAAGTCTACTAGGGGAGAATCATATTTAAATTAACCTGTAAATTATCACAGTGACTTAAAAAGATTAATTTTCCCTGGTGTTATCTAACACTCCAATACTAGTTGTGCTGGCCAGTTTTGCATCAACTTGACACAATCTAGTCATTTTGGAAAAGAGAACCTCAATTGAGAAAATTCTCTATCAGATTGACCTATAGGCAAATCTATAAGGCATTTTCTAGATTCATGATCAATGTGGGAAGGCCCAGCCCATTGTAGGTGGGCCACCTCTGTCCTAGTGGTCCTGGGTTCTATAAGAAAGTAGCTGAGCAAGCTATGGGAGGAAGCCAGTAAACAGTACCCCTCCATGGCTTCTGCTTCAATCTCTGCCTCCAGGTTCCTACACTGACTGCCTTCAGTGATGGACTGTGACCTGTAAGATTAAGACATAAAAGCCCTTTCCTCCCTAAGTTGCCTTTGGTCATGATGCTTTATCATAGCAATAGAAACTCTAACAAAGACACCACTGATTGGCCTACCGTTTATGGGGGACTTCTTGTCTTTTTGACCTTTGGTGATCTATTTTCTGTCTTCTTTAAAGACATTTCCTCTTCCTGTCTCTCTGAAGTGGAGCAAATTGGTTTCTTGGCCCTACTAAACATTCTTTTCTCCCCTTTCTCCTGGCAGGCTACCAAGTTCTTCAGTTCTGCTGAGTTGTCTGTATGGAATGCATACACACACACACACACACACACACGCTTATATACATAAACACACACAGGCACACACACATATGCACTTAAATGCACACACATACACACATGCACACACCTATACACAATGATGATAATCTCTCATTGCTTCTAGAGTAAAACGGAAGACTTTCTGTGCTTTGTCTCTCCAGATATCACCCCTACCACCTGGGCACGCGGCCTTTATCCCACTCAGCACATGCACTATTCCTTAAACCAGCTCAGTAGAGCTGCTGCCTGCTTGTCCCCCTCCACTAGCCACCTCTTGTCTAACTGGCTTTAGTAAAAACACACTTTTTCAGAAAGCCTTTCCTGTAATCTCCTAACCAAAAGCTTGCTCATGTCCACAGCACTCACCCAACCAATCACACGACCTGTTTACTTCCTGTGTCTCATTTTATCTCTATCTGAAACAATGTAACAATTTTGAATTTTAATTCTGGTTTTGTGCCCTGTCTTCTTCCATAAGATCATGGGTCCATAAGTCCAGGGATTTGTCTACCTTGTCTATGTCCATCTGGTTGACCACTGTCTTCCCAACCCTGTACACACTGTCATCCCTTATTTAACAAGTAATATTGGATGAATTGAGAAACCAATGCTTTTTACTCTGCTTGCTTTCCTCCTTGGTTTTTTTTTTTTTTTTTTTTTTTTTTTTTTTGTTTTGTTTTGTTTTGTTTTGTAGGTAGAGTTTTCCTGATCCTGCCTGGCCCATGGTCAGGACAAATCTCTCTCACCCACCAGTTCCACAGTTGCTCAGACCCAACCAAGTAAAAACACAGACACTTATATTATTTAAACTGTTTGGCCTAATAGCTCAGGCTTCTAGCTATCTAGTTCTTACATTTTAAATTAACTCATTTCTATAAATCTATACCTTGCCACATGGCTTGTGGCTTACCAGTATCTTACATGTTGGTACTCATGGTGGCAGCTGGTAGCGTCTCCTGACTCAGCCTTCTTGTTCCCAGAATTATCTTCTCTGCTTGTCCCGCCTATACTTCCTGCCTGGCTACTGGCCAATCAGCATTTTATTTATACAGTGCGATATCCACAGCATTTTTTTTTCTGCTTCTTGGAATAGAGATCACTATTCAAAACCTATCTCAATATCTTCTAATTCTTTAATCTTTGTATCTGAAAGTTAATCCTGAAATCTTTTCAAATTTATATTCGTGTGTGTGTGTGTGTGTGTGTGTGTGTGTGTGTGTGTGTGTGTGTGTGTGACTATATAAAGTTATGTGCAGCACATGTATGCAAGTGCCCATGGATGCCAGAACAGAGTGTTGGATCCCCTAGAACTGGAGTTATAGGCATTGGGAGCTGCCTGATGTGGGTGCTTGGAATCAAAACTGGGTCCTTTCCAAGAACAGAAAGTGCTCCTGACCTCA